TACTATCTTGCACGTATGTGTGCAAACTTTGAAGTTATATTAAAAAATATCTAATTAATATCTTAATAAGGAGTTACGGGAGTAAATGTATTTTAACGATAACATATGATATTTAAGTTATTATTAAATGTAACAAATTGAAATATTTCGATGATCAGCTTTTTGTCAGACTACACACATAATAGAGAAATTATATTTTCAGGAAATCTCGTTTTACAATAATTCTTTACTATTGAATATTAAAAAACACTAATTTATATAATTAATTTTTTTTTAATGTCCTTAGTGTTATACACGTTCCCTCAAATCGTTATTATTACTCAGCCAATTTGGCCACGCGTTCTTGGCATTTTTTTGTTCCTGAACGAATCTTTGTTCCGTCACAAAACGTTAATCGTGACCGAGTACTTTGTCGATCAAGAAAAATATTATTACTTAATCATGTTGCATACGATCATAGCAATTTGCATAGGAATGTTTGCAATAGTAGCAACTGGAACGCTGCTTTTGGTGTTTCTTAAACATGCCTGTGGAATGTTTAGTATCGCCAGGTGATGAAGCCAATAGCAATATATAGTGAAGTCATGATTTTTATTATTGTATTTTCGCACGTTGAATGAATAAAAAGAAAGTTATATAATTATAGCGAGAAAATTATTTACAGTTATCGCATAGAACGAGCAATTACAAACAATAAGCGAGAAAATGTTAATCTAAAAGACCAGAATACGATTTTTAAGAGGATGATCTATGCGGTAGACATTCATCGTAAAGCTATGAAGTCGGTATTTATTTGATAACACTTATCTAAAATAAATGTGATAACATTCTCTTATATTCTTAAAGATACTCCAGATTTCTAATATCCAGCTTTGAGGGGACTTTCTTTCTTCTCATTGTGTTAGGCGTGGTTAGCTTGAGTCTTAATCTTTTTCGAGTGAGTTTTCTGGACTTTAAACGTGTCTATGAATGAGGGGAGTTAATATCTCAATATATGAACTTACTGATAATAAAAATAGAGAAACATAACTATTATAAATTAAAGTTTTTAAATTGTATTGTGCGTGTAAAAACAATTGAGAGTGAAAAAAATTTTGATATTATTAGATTAGATTGGTAGTTTATACAACTAATGTCACTCATAACCATTGATATTTATGAGCTTGACATTATTTGCTTTTTGGTCTTTCAGCTTGCATCATCCAGAGGCAATAAAGAGGAACTTTTATTTCGTTTCGTATGTGTAATTGTCATTCTTATATATATGTTTTTTTCCAACGAAATCGGACAGGAAATTACAGATCACAATGATCAAGTATATTTAACTGCGTAAGAAATACATTATTTTTACAATATTGATTACAATCGTGTACTTCTTATGTGACCTTTTTGTAGACCAATAATAAAACTAATGAAAGTAAAGCTTAATATTATTTCTAAAGCGCGCACATATGTGAACATCATTGTTTTATCTCTTCTTACTTTTCTCGAATTTATATTTTAGTCATTATATTGTAGATACAAAGTGATGTGGTATGCAGCGCCCTTACATGTGCAGAAACTAATATTGTTTCTGATACAAAGAGGTAACAAAACTTTCGGGTTGCATGTGGGTGGATTATTTACCTCATCTTTACAGTGTTTTGCAACGGTAAAAAGTATATAATATAATGAAATATATTCAACGCTACCTATGTCGAACGGACATCACAAAAATAATGTTTTTTACTTGCAGTTGGCGAGTACATCAGTATCTTATTTTACCGTAATGTATTCGACGCAACAGTGACGTAAATACATCATTTAATAGTACATCGAAATGTAGTAAGTGAGCGTGACAAGTTCTCTTCGTTATATTGTTATTGGAAACTTTTAATTCATTCTGTATATTATCTTTTTTATAGTTCTTTTTAGTCGGTAGCATATAATTTATCAGGCAATCAGGTTATTAGAGATTTATATTTTACCACTTACTCCATAGTTGATACGTCGAACTTAAGATAAATGCGACTAATGTTTTCGCCAACGACCAAACGTGTTGCACGAGTGCTAGCACTGGAATGAAGTATTCGAGTGATGAAAAGAGCGATTACGCTTGCGTGAACTTTGACAAGTCGTCTCACGAGTATTATTAATATTTTGTGAGAAATTAACATATGTATGTTACATTTCTTGTGTTACATTGATAATTAATATTTTTTCTGTTGCAAGGAGGTTAAAACTCTCAGCCTGTCTGTAAATAGACTATATACAGCATCCCTGTATTTCACCTCGGCAAAAAATATCATGCATTAGAATATATTCAACGTAGCATATTTCGAGCAGGCAACACGACAGAAGACATCTTTCATTGTAGTTAGCGTGTGCATCGGTATCATACTTTACCATTATGTATTCCACGCAGCAGTCTCGTAAACATCCATCATTCAGTAGTATATTAGGATACAGTAGATGAACGTAAAAAAATATCTCAGTTCATTCGCTTGGCAGTGACAGTTGAATAAATTTATGCAAGTTACATTTCAGTTTCGTTGCCAAATCAGTGGCGTTACCTACACATTAACTATCTACTTATCAACTATTTTTCTGTATTTTTAGTATTCAATCTTGTATAAATAATGTAACAATTGCTCTATTATTTATTGATTTTGTTTATTTCTCAATTTCAGTTTAATTAAGACGAATATTTACGATCTTCGTAAAATTAATAATTTTAGATGCCGAGAAGAGACTACTTAATGTTCGTGTATATTTAGAGATGCATTGTACAATACATTTAAGAAATATAACCGACGTAACGTCTGATGCGCTTCGAATCATTTTTAGCTATTTAAAGACGTTGACCTTAATGAGATGAAAACAAACGTAGAGACGATGGGGTTATTGGAAAATAATTTTACTTGGAACAACGTGCGGCACCAAGTGAAAAGTGTAATAAGTGAGCAACGTGCTTAGATGGTTTGTCTTAAGGAATGTGTATAATTGACGTAGCTATGTTTATTGATTGTCCGGTATTTTATGAAATCTTTGGTTTCATGCCGATACGGCGACACATTGCATAAATTTGCGTATCTGCTCTCATTCTGTTGCGCACGACGCAGATCGTGAGATATGCTTCGAGATGGCGCTGATTCGATTATACTTTATCGGCAAATAATTTTATTCGGAGGAATGGGATATAGGTGAGACACCGCGCGTGGCTAGTAATTGGTGAGCATTTAATACAATCAAGCACATTTACGACTTTAACATTCCTCAGATACACACAAATGTATTAAATCGTTCAGGTGCCGCCGTGTTCAAAGAAGAGCTGGGCACACACAATTCGTCGGATTTATTTATTTTCTTGCAAAATTATGAAATTTAGTCACTCTATTGACTGCAAAATGAACACTTTTTAGAATAGTTTCACTATTGAATATCATAGATTTGAGCATCATATACATTATATACATTAATTCGGCATGTTCGTGAAATATATTAGCACTAGTAACAGTAAAAAAATTCACAAGTAATTAGAGATTTACACTTTACCGACGTTAATTCCACAGTTAACACGTGGAGCTTGAGACAAATGCGACTGACGTTTTCCTCAACGATCAAACGTGCCTGACGAGTATTCATACTGGACTGAGGCACTTGAATGATAGAAAGAGTGACTATGTTTGTGTGAACTTCGACCGGCTAGTTGTCTTTTGAGTTATTTCATGAGAAATTAATATATATTGAATTTCTTCCCATTTTACATGAATAACTGATATTGTTTTTGTTGCAAAGAGATTAAAATTACTATTTTGGGTATGGATGGATTGTTCACGGTTTCCCTCAGCAAAAAATACATCATGGATTGTAGGATATTCCGAGTAGGCAACACAACAGAATTTATTATAGTTGGTTAACACAATTTCGAGTGTGCTATCTTTTCAATAAATTTATTGTTTGCAGATGACACCATTTATGATTGCTGAATATATATCTAACCTTTTCATTAAAATTGTTACTTCCATAATATTTTCTTGTTCTACAAAGTACTCTCACTAATTTTTTAGTTTCTAGTCTCGAAAGATTGTCCTTCTTATTAATTTTATGTGATGTGCTTAAGTTTTATTTGATTGTTTAAGTCTTAATCTCTTTTGAGTGAGTTTTTCCGCACTATTAATTAAATACATCTTCGAACGTGAGTGGTAAAATATTTCATGATATTTAAATACGCGCAGTAGTAAAAAAAAATAATGTGATTGTAAGAATGTAAAAAATGTTTAGTTTAAAATTGCTGTAATTCCAAAATTTCATGTTGTCATAAAAAAAAGAAAACTTATTTATATTATGATTTGCAAGTACATCGGTATCTTATTTTATCGTTATTTTACGCAAGTGACGCACGTTAAGTGACGCAAATTTACAACGTTTAATAATATTTGGGAGTACAGTAAGTACGCGTTGGATGATATTTGGTGTTCATTAATGTATGCGTGCAAGTTAGTGAATTTCTCCGAAGAAAGCTTTGTAAAAACATTTAAATTATTAGATCAATATTTTACCGTCTATAATTCCGTGGATGGTATCTTGCTATATTGCGTCGGATCGGCTGATGTGTCTCCCCATAACCATGTGTGTCTCGTGGTTGCTGGCTTTAGAATGAACCATGTGCGCGACTGGAATGCAAGTGCGCTTGCGTGGACATTTAGATGACCAAGTCGTTTCGTGAGTGTTATTCTATGGGAAATAAACATATGCATATGTTGAATTTCTCTCGGTGTCAGATCGATAGCCAGCCTTCGCCCCTTCAAAGTCACGAAAGTGCATGTGTCTCGATCTCATAGAGATATTACGCATCGTAAGCCTACAGTTACTTTTCATTATATAATTTGCACTCGAATTTATATTGAACGGAAGAGAATTATAGAATAATAGTTTAAACGGTTGAAATAAGAGGATCTTGCAAAAATTTCGTTGACTTCCTACAGTCAAACGCGTCTTGATACTCGTAGCGAAATGATCTCTGTTGAAACTGAACATTTTTCTATTAATCGAACTCTTCTGCTAGTACTTGGCTTATGGCCTTATGAGCGATCAACACTTGTCCGACTCCAGACTATCATACTTTTTGCTATACTGATGAGTTTTATAATATTTCAGGTATGTCTATACTGTAACTGCACATGTATTGTGTAATAGAAATGGCCGCACAGTTGTCTACAGTTCTGTAGTAAATGTCTACTTTGACTTCAAAAATATGTAAACTATAATATGATTGTTGCATGTAACTGCACTATACTATTTAACATTGAACATATATATAGTAAGATGCATCAGCAGTTTTTGAAAAGTGACATAAACACCAGTTGGACTTATTGATTAAACGTTATTTATTATTAACGTTCAGAATTAATTTTTTAATATAGCTCATAATGTAATATTTACTCAACATAAGATTTATAACTTTTTTTATATAAAGTTAATTATGTTATTTTATCATAGATATGAGGGCAATAGATTATTTTAAATTTGCACTTTGGTAGTTAAATAAAGAAATAGTTTTTAATATCGTTATTAAAAAAAATGTATTGCCTGTAGACTACAGTCCTTCTAACTGCAGAATGCACTTCCGATCTTCTCATAAATGTTTTCTGCAGCACATTATTATGCTGTGTTTTATTGGTTAATTTTCTTTCGTTCTGGATTAATATGCGAACTGTAAGTTGAAATTTTTTGTGGCATATTTAACTAAGTGTTATCTACTCGTGAATTTTTCTACATAGACATTTTTTAGAATTCTTTAATAAGTCATTCTTTAACATCACACAATATTATTTATTGTTATAATATATTATTACTATAACAGGTAACATGTTTAATGGAAAGATTACAGGAAATTTGTAATGAGTTGAAGGACGAGAATGAAATTGCAATTATAAAAAGATATGGTTATCGAGCGAGACAAATTACTATTATTCTTACACGTAAGATAACCCTCTTCATACTTACTGATACATTACGATATATAATGGATTATAATCGCTATAAAAAGTCGGGTAACCATTTCACTATCTTGCACGTATGTGTGCAAACTTTTAAGTTATATTAAAAAATATCTAATTAATATCTTAATAAGGAGTTACTGGTGTAAATGTATTTTAACGATTACGTATGATATTTAAGTTATTATTAAAAATAACAGAAATTGAAATATTTCGATAATCAATTTTCTGTCAGCCTACAAACATAATAGAGAAGTTATATTTTGAGTACATTTCGTTTTACAGTAATTCTTTACTAATGATTTTTAAAAAACACTAATTTATATTATTACATTTTTTTTAATGTCCTTAGTGTTATACACGTTCCCTGAAATCGTAATTATTGCTCAGCCAATTTGGCCACGCGTTCTTGGCATTTTTTTGTTCCTGAACGAATCTTTGTACCGTCGCAAAACGTTAATCTTGACCGAGTACTTTGTCGATCAAGAAAAATATTCTTACTTAATCATGTTGCATACGAACATAGCAGTTTTCATAGGAACGTTTGCAATGGTAGCAACAAAAACGCTGCTTCTGGTGTCTCTTAACCATGCCTGTGGAATGTTTAGTATCGCCAGGTGATGAAGCCAATAGCAATATATAGTGAAATCATGATTTTTATTAGTGTATTTTCGCACGTTGATTAAATAAAAAGAAAGTTATATAATTATAGCGAGAAAATTATTTACAGTTATCGCATAGAACGAGCAATTACAAACAATAAGCGAGAAAATGTTAATCTAAAAGACCAGAATGTGAT